ACCAATACCAGGCAGTTTTGACTACTGTGGCTGTATAGTAGGTTTTGAGATCTGGCAGTGTGAGACCTCCTACTTTGTTCTTCTTCAATAGTGCTTTGCTTATCCCTTCAAGCGGTTTTAAACTCACAGAAACCCCATGTGATGAAGTAGAACTGCCCCATAGGGTTTTCTTGGCTGTAAATGTTGTGGAAGCAGATTATCAGGCTCTGCCCTAGGGCCACTGGGGAGGTTCAGACCACCAACTTTTCAGTTAGCAACTGAATGCTTAACTGTTTGGGTCACTGAGGCTGGGCTAATACGCTTCCTTTGGAGTCAGGTAGGCTGAGATTCCAGTATCACCTCTATCACTTAGCAGCTTTGGGAGCTGGGTCTCAGTCTTATCTGTAAAATGGGAATAATAGACATCGATATCATCGACTTCATTGGGTTTACTGTGAATAAGATGAAGCATCTAAAGCATGAGTTCACTGAAAGTTAGCAATGATGATCACTATTGTGGCAATATGCCACACACACATACATACATGTAAATATTTGGTGAGACAGCCTTGTAACCAGTGAATTATAATAGCATTTTAAATTGAGTCATGTTTTAGGTGGGAATACTAAGCACAGGCTGTCAGCTTGAAAGGGAAAGAACTGAGATTCTTTATCCCTTTTCAAGTCCTGCCTTTGTCAGGAGCCATGGGGCCCCATTGCTCTGGACAGGCATCTGGGAGCCCAGGGGAGAGAGCTATGAGGTTGAAGACACGACCAGGCCACTTCTTTATTCTTCTGCCCTCTTTCCTCATCCCCAGGAGTACCTAAAAGGCCTCTGCAACCCTGAGCTTCAGGAGGAGATCCACTACCCGCCCAAACTGCACTGCATCTTCCTCGGAGCCCAGGGCTTGTTCCTGGACTGTTTGGCCTGGACCACTACAGCCCACCTGGTACCCCAGGGACCTGGCTCACTGATGATCAGTGGGCTTACTGAGGCCTTTGTAATGGCTCAGAGCCGTGTGGAGGAGCTGGTAGAGCGGAACCTGCGGTCAGTGCCATCCCCTGGAACTTCTCAGTTTGCTTGTGTGCTGAGGGACTTCTCTGCCCTGCTGCAGCCCCGGGGGGATGCCCACAAAGAGGCTCTGCTGCAGTTGGCCCCGGCTGTCCAGGAGGAACTACTGAGTCTGGTGCAGGAGGCATCCAGGGGGCAGGAGCCACAAGCATATCCCTTCTGGGAGAGAGGGAGCCCAGGCCTGCTGGGTGCTCAGCTACTGGGAGTTGGAGGTCCCCTGAGTGAAGGCAGGGAGTCCCTGGACACTGGATCTATGGGGTGGGGAGAGTCAAGGGGAGAGAGATATACTATGGAGAAAGAGGGAGGGAGACAGGGTGGTCCCAGGGAGATGGATTTAGGGTGGAAGGAGCTACTTGGGAAAGAGGCTTGGGAGAGAGATGAGGCCTTCAGGCCACAGTCAGGGGGAGGAGATGTAGGGGCAGCAGGGCCCCTGAAAGGGAAGGCCATGGGGAAGGAGGGGTTGTCTCAGGAGAGAGGAGAGTTCTGTGCCCAGGGTGAGCCTTCTGGTGCCCATGGCCTCTCTCAGAGGGCAAGTCAACCTCGGGGAGCCTCCCTCCTCCAGCGGCTCCACAATGGGCAAGCCTCACCTCCGAGAGTGCCTAGCCCTCCACCTGCACCCGAACCCCCATGGCACTGTGGAGATCGAGGAGACAAGCAGCAGATCATGACTCGAGGTCGGGGGTCTCCATGGAAACGGGGCACTCGAGGGGGCAACTTGGTGACTGGCACACAGCGTTTCCAGGAGGCCCTACAGGATCCTTTCACCTTGTGCCTTGCCAATGTGCCTGGTCAGCCAGACCTCCGCCATATTGTCATTGACGGAAGCAACGTGGCCATGGTGTAAGTATCTGGTAGAGCTAAGAGTGTGGGGGAAGGAGGGTGAGATAGGCTGTGTCCACTTTGGGGACATGTGCTAAGGGGCCAGCACTCCAGCCAGGCTCTGGGCCTCGAGTGCTGACCCCCTTCCTACTGCAGGCATGGCCTCCAGCACTACTTCTCCAGCCGGGGCATTGCCATCGCTGTGCAGTACTTCTGGGACCGTGGCCACCGGGACATAACGGTCTTTGTGCCTCAGTGGCGCTTCAGTAAGGATGCCAAGGTCAGAGGTGAGTTGGGCCTGCTCTTTTGTGTCCTGGGATAGGTCCGTTGGGGATATTCAGCCTTCAGGATAACTCTGTGCTTCTTCTTTCTATAGAGGGTCACTTCCTGCAAAAGCTGTATTCCCTCAGCCTGCTCTCCCTCACTCCCTCGCGAGTCATGGATGGCAAGAGGATCTCTTCCTATGATGACAGGTACTTGTTCCTCTCCTGGATTGTGCTTGATACTCAAGGAAGCCCAGTAAGAAACTGAGGGAGAGAGAGAAATTCCAGACCCTTTTTGTTTTCTTGAACCCTGAGTGACAGGGAAGGGACTAGTTAATCTCTAGTGTACCCTTGTGGCTGGGTAGGTAAACCTGTTCTACAGGAGAGATGAGGTGGACTGTGAGCAGCTGTTGGCCCATTTACCATTCATTTTTCATTCATTAAACTCCTCAATGATCCCTCGTTTTCTGGTGCTTTACAGTTTAGAAACTACTGGTTTGATGGCAAAGTAGGAAAGCTGATGGCACAACTAGCTGACAGATGCCTTCTTACAACCTAAATTTTTAAGCACATAAGAGAAATTTCCCCAATAATCAGGGAAACCTTCAAAATAATGAATAAAATGAAGAACATGATCCATGAATAATAAAACTATAGAAAGCATGATCTAATAGAAAGATCACTGGACTTAGAATTTGAAGATCTAAATTTGAGCTCCAAGTTACACTACTCATTGACCTTGACTGTGGACCACTGTCTTAGTGACTTACCTCTTTGTCTCAGGGTCCTCCTCCATTCATTCACCCTCCTTGTGACTATCAAAAGAAGATAAGGTATGTGCTTGCCTGACTCAGTGTTCTAGGCAAGAGCAGAGTGGTATTACTTCTTACCTTTGCATGAACCCAAACAAATGTGGCAGGAGGATGTAACCTCTTATACAGATCTGGAGGCTGAGGGTAAGAGTGATTGATTATCTTGGCAAAGGCTACTGTGTGGCAAAGGAAAAATTAGAATTCAAAGCTCTGAGTAGAGTTGTCAGATGGTTTAAATAAAAAAACACAGAGCATACTCCCTCCCCAGGGTACATACATGGTATGGGAAATGGGCATATCTTAAAAGTTAACTAATTAAAAATTACAAGTTTTTTATTTTCTACAATTATTCAATTTTAAGTGAAAAATGAGTTTCTAAACCATAATGATTACGTATTTTGCTTTTTCAAATATTTCACTTTACCCTCTTCCCTCTAAACAAGTAAATGCTATTCTACAAAAAGGCAGTTTATTGTATTCCAGTGCTATTCTGTTTTAAGCCTAGATTCACAGATTATCCAAATATGGGTCATTCTTTCTACATCAGCATTGAAACAATTAATTGGAAAGTGAAGTTTGAGCCAGTTTTAATAAATTTTAAAGGCTCGCACAGTTGTGTAGACCTGGTGGGCAGACAACACAATATGAATTTAGAATTTTGCCTATTAACTGAATAAGCATGGTGGTGCATAGGACGGACCTACTGTGAGGATGTTGTTGAAGAAGATACCATATAACATGATAACAGTAAAATATGCCTAGCCAGAAACTATACTGGGGATATTCTTCTTATGTCATGCCCTCAATTTGTTTCCCAGACAGAAACTTGGAACCAGACATCTATCGCACCTAATCTTGAATCTCAGTCCCCTCTGTACCACATTGTCTTTCAAATACTGACTGCCCAGCTTATACTAGTTGCATGGGTTACAGAAGGAAGTGGGAACTCTGGAAACAAACCTTATTCTTGTCTTCAAAGAGCCAAAATACACTATAAATCAAACACTACAGGAACTTAGAGGAAAAGGATCCCACTTCTGGCAGGAGTGTGTGGGAAGGGAGATATTTGTGAGTTTTTTGTTGATTGAGAATGAGGTGGGATGTTGTGGATCTCTTGGTTTCTAAACCTGTTAAAAAAACCCACCCACCACCTCATGAACCCTACTCTTACTCTGTGGAATCAGAATTACTGAAGTGGGGCCAGGCATGGCTATTTTTGAAGTTCCTCTGATGGTTCTGCTCACTAGTAAAATTTAGTAACTGACTCCTGATAAAGTACAGAGCAAATGTGGAGAAAGGGTTTAATGTAATCACTGATTTTGGCTTAAGTTGAGGGTACGTTAGGGAATACTGGGAAAGATAGGGGTGTAAGGGTGACTTCGAGCAGGGTCCTGGAGGGCCTGAGCTGTCTGCCTTGGGCATGTGACTTTATTTGGTAGATGAAAAGCAACTGTAGGAGAGTTTTTTGTAGTACAGGGAAGAGCATGTTCTTTTGGGGAAGGGCAGGATAGAACTGGAGGGTGCCTGAAGGTAGGGCACCCACTTGTTAGGAGACTCTTGCAACATCTCAGTTGAAATATCTTAATAATTATGGTGATAATAGTGGGCTTGGAAAAGAAAAGGGGAGAGGTAAAAGGCTTTTAAGAGAAAGAACATATTGGAATTGTGACTAACTGGTAGAGTAGAAGGTGACAAAAAAACCAAACTCACTGCTCTATGGCAGTTCTCACTCAGCGACTCCTCTTTGGGATTCTGAGGCAGTATCTCTATAGAAGTAGATCGCTCCGTCCTACTGTCTCTTGCTAAAGAGGCACCAAATGTTGGTGAGGGATTTTGGTGTGAGCGGGGAGGGGGGGGGGGGCGGGAGGAGAATGTTACTGGGGAGACCAGCTTAGATTCATCTATTTCTTTCTAACTCATGGTACCTGTAGTCATCAGTCACCTGGTGGCTGGGTCATAGTGAGGTGAGGGGCCAGATCTCCATCACCAGAAGTAGGTCATGGGAGTCCACAGCAGTCTGGGTTGGAGCCTTTGAGAATCCAAGAATGGCTGCCCTGCTTTTTGAGATAGGTTCATGGTGAAGCTGGCTGAAGAGACGGATGGGATCATTGTCTCCAATGACCAGTTCCGGGACCTTGCGGAGGAGTCCGAGAAATGGATGGCAATCATCAGAGAGCGGTGAGGGAGGCAGGGCAGGGACTCAGACCCTTCTCTAAAACCAGCTCTGCTCTGGCCTCTGGGTGGGAACTATGGAAGGGGTTGAAGTTGCTTCAAAGGATGGAAGCCAGCAACTTCTGGTGGTGTTGGTTGCAGCTGTCTGGGAGGTGGGCAAGACTATGAGACTGTGCATTCTCTGTGTCCGTCCAGCCTGCTGCCCTTCACCTTTGTGGGAAACCTCTTCATGGTCCCTGATGACCCACTAGGGCGAAATGGCCCAACCCTGGATGAGTTCCTGAAGAAGCCAGTCAGGTAATGCCACAGGTTCTCCTGCAGGCACCCCCCAGCCCTGACCGTTTCTGCAGGGGAGCCTTGCAGGCCTTCCTTTGGGTGTGACCTCAAGTAGCCTTGGGTGTGATGGAGAATCTTGGATAGAATCTCTGGTTGGGAGAGGAGCTCCTGTTTCCCCTAACGAGTTCTTTTGATGGAGTTACCTATAAGATGGTTGCTTTTACTTCTACCCTCTGCTGGACTCTTAAGTGATTAATTTACTGGACTAGAACTAGATGATAATAATGGCAAGGCTCACCTTCCTGGAAAGGAATTCTTTTTCCCTTTAGAGGTAAAGGAGCTCTAGTGGTTAGTGGTTAACGCATTCAGCTGCTAACCAAAATGTCAGCGGATGCGAACTTACCTGCAGCTCAGTGGGAGAAAGATGAGGCAGTCTGCTTCCATAAAGATTTACAGCCTTGGAAACCCAATGGTAGTCACTATTAGTCGCAATTAACTTGATGGCAGTTCGTTTTTTTTTTTGAAACCCCACGGAGCAGTTCTATTCTGTCCTAAATGGTTGCACTGGCTGGCATCCAACTTGAGGTCGGTAGGTCTTCAGAGGTGAGCTGATACTGCCACTTAGTGGTCATCTTGACAAACTTCAGGATTGCTCCCTCAGAGCCAGGAATAAAACCAAAACCTAGCTGCCAACCAGACTCTGACTCATTGTGACCCTGTAGAAAGAGCTCTGGTGGTATAGTGGTTAAGGCATTTGGTTGTTATCCAGAAGATTGGTGATTCAAACCTACCACTCACTCCAAGGAAGAAAGATGAGTCTGCTTCTGTAAAGATTTACAGCCTTGGAAACCAATGGGGGTAACTCGACTCTATGGCAGTGAGTTTGGTTTTCAGTTTGGCGACCTTATAGGACAGAGTAGAACTGCTTCATAGGGTTTGCAAGGGTGTAATATTTACAGAAAGAAGCCTTGGTGGTGCAGTGGTTAAACACCTGCTAACCAAAAGGTTGGAGACTCGAACCTACTGGCCACTCAGGTGAAAGATGTGGCAAAGGGAATCCACTCAAAGGCAATGGGCTGTTTTTTTTTTTTTTAAATCTTTAGAAAAGCCAGGGCATTTAATTGGGTGGGGATCAGGGAGGCCCACTGAGCTCTAATTTCCCTATAGGACGCTCACCAGCTCTTCATGTTCTCTCTACTTCTTCCCAGGACACAGGGGTCTTCAGTGGCTCAGCATCCTTCCAGGGGCATTGCAAAACATGGTAATCAGCAGCAGGGGAGGGAAGAGGAAAAAGGCAGTGGTGGCATTCGGAAGACCCGGGAGACAGAGCGGCTTCGGCGCCAGCTGCTAGAGGTGTTTTGGGGCCAGGATCATAAGGTGGACTTTATCCTGCAGCGGGAGCCATACTGCCGGGACATCAACCAACTCTCTGAGGCCCTGCTCAGCCTCAATTTTTGAGCCTCACTTGTCTGAGTTGGCAGCCACCCATCAGTTCCAGTCCCATCGAGCTCAGTCCTTCTGTGAGTCCCTCTGCTGTTCAGAACCTGACCCAGACTCACCCTGAGTTGGTGCTTTGGGTCAGGAAAGCACCATGGAAGAGTATTTGAGAGTTGGGAATGCTCTTGCCTGGGGAACTTGGTCATCTGGAGTCAGGACCTTGACCAGCTGTCAAGAGGTTCTGTTCACTTTGACTTCTCAACTTTGCCTTAGTTTCTGTAGGGAGTGGGAGCTGCTGGAAAGGCTAAGTCCCAGAGACTGGGACTGTCATCACCTCCAAGCTAAGCTGGAGGTGGGAAACAACAGGTGGCAAGGAAACTAAGCCTTCCTCTAGCTGCTGCACTGGGTGGGTGATCAGAGGACAGGATGCCCAGGCCTGGCTAGTCTGCTGGGACCATTGGTAGAAATGCTTGGCCCTAGAAAGGCTATAGCGTTAGGTGGGCTGTTCGTAGTCAGGGCACCAGGAGCTGGTGGAGAAGGTAGAGGGAGCCTTGGCATCTGGTCTCAGCTGTGCCTGTCAGGGATCTTGATTGAGCTGCTTGGCCTTTATTTCTGCCCATAATCAGCAGTAGAAATACCTATTAGGAGAAGCAGTGAGAACATAAAGCAAAGCTCCTTGGAGGAAAGGTACTTTGACCAAGTCTCAGGTATGTCTGACTGGCTGCACAGGTTTCCTAACCAAGACCCAACTTTCAGAAAGCTGTGGGTCATCTATCCCCTGGGTATCCACCCATGCCCTGGCTTTTAACACAAAGTTCTCAGTATAACATGCCCTATAATGGCTGCATCCCTTTTCGGCAACCCCCCAAATCCACATTTGCAAATAGTTAAATTAGGGGGTGACTTTTTGCATTACCAAAATACTCTCAGGGTTCCTTGAAATGGCAGCTCTTCCATTGCAATCACGTGTTTACAGATTAACAAATGTGTCAGAAAGTCCTGTTAGAAGCACTTGCTGAAGTGCTGGGAGCAATCACGAAAACAATGAAGACGTGCTCTGCAATGACAATGTAATGTGATCTGATCCTAATATTTTCTCTGCACAATACATATGTTGCATAAAGTGAGGCACACTTCTGTTTTGTGTGCATGTGTATGTGTGTGTATGGGGATAGAAGGGTGTATAGAGGTGGTATCTTAATGAACTAATTATCTGGAAAATGAAAACCAAAGAAGCAGTTAGAAGGTATCTGACTGGCCACGAGAACAACTCTGCTGTCACATCAGGATATTCTCTCTTCACCCTCATTCCTACAGGTCACCATCCTTTATCTGCCTGAAGTCCTGTGTCAGGGAAGTTACTGCCTTACAAGGTAGCACATTTCCATCTGTGGACAGTATTAGTCATTAGTCCTTTCTTTTAGTATATTTAGTTTACATATTCTTTCAGAATATATTTTTGTATTAGATCTGCCTTTGAGGTTGGTCATTCCTTCTGGAACACAAAAAACCAAACCAAACTCACTGCCACTGAGTCAATTCCAACTCCTAGCAACCCCAATTGGATTTCTGAGGTGGTAAATCTTTACGGATGTAGACTGCCCCGTCTTCTTTCCATGGAGTGGCTTTTGGGGCAGGAAGATTTCTAGCAGAGTGGGTTGCCCTTGGGCATTAATTGGCAGAAGTGGAGAGATCAAAGAAATGGCTGGTTTGAACTGCCACCCTTTTAGTTAGCAATCAAATGCCTTATAGACTGCCCCACCAGAGCTCCTTTTGAGAACACAGAACCAGTCAAATTACTAGAGAAGAGTCTAAGATCAAAGAACAAGGACAGGGACCCCGAGTTCTGTCTGGGAAGCAGCAAGCCTCTGGGTATGCTCCTTTTCAAGCTTGTACTGCCTTGCTCTGAAAGACATAGGGAGTTTAATGCTGTTTTCCCAGTCTCTCATCCCAGCAAGCAACATGGGTAGCTCAGTGATGATGAACAGAGTCCCTGGGTCCCATGTTCCTCCTACCACTACTGTTATGTTGTTATGTGCCGTCGAGTCGGCCCCAACTCATAGCGACCCCTCCTTGGATATCTGAGGCAGTATCACTACAGAAGTAGGATCGCCCAACCTTCCTTCCGAGGAGTGGCTGGTGGGTTTGAACCGCCAGCCTTCTGGATAGCAGTCAAGTGCTTTAGCCACTATGCTACCAGAGCTCCTACCACTATACTCCCTCCCATAATTGATGATTTACACCACTGGACAGCATTGATCTGGGCTGGGCATGGGTGTGTTAGAGAATGGCTGGCCAGGCAGGTGATAGTGACTTAAAGATAGTCCACAGTCCCCTGGGAAGAAAGGAGATTGGTTGAATTGAGAGCTCTGGTGGTGTAGTGCATAAGGCATTTTACTGCTAACCAGAAGGCTGGCAGTTCAAATCCACCAGCCACTCCTTGGAAGGAAAATTGGGCAATCTACTTATGTAGTGATACTGCCTCAGAAACCCAAGGGGAGGGTGTCACTATGAGTCAGATCTGACTCCACAGCAGTGAGTTTGGTTTGTTTTTTTTGGGGGACTGAAGGGCTAAGTCAAGTTGTGGTCATGTTGGGGTCAAGTTGTGGCAGAAACCTACAGGGTAGATAAAAAGGGAAAACGTCTTAGATAACACTTGGGACTTTTTCTCCTGATCGGGTTGAGTTTATAGTGTTGATTGCTGTATCTTTGGTTCTTTGCCTCATTCACTTCCAATATGATGATAGGCTGTGAATGGGCCAGAGGTATTTCCTGCTCTTTTGTGCTAAGGACTCCGGTTAACTGAAGTGACCCCATTCAACTGAGAGGCAAGTCTTATATACTTCTTACAGGCAGAGATGTTGACTTTGTCCTGCTGCAGCTTGATGAATTAGGGCCAACATGTGATTCTTTCTTTATTCCCTGCCATTTGGTGACATGAAATGAAGGCTGTCCTAGACCTGGCTTCATCTCTTCCTGTCAGCATCATGATGGTAGCCTGTAAACAGGTATGCAGGGTGACCACCACACCTACTAGAAATGTGTCATTTCTTTCTTCTTCCAGTCTACTTTTATCTCAACCTCATGCCTCAAATCTGTGTCCAATACTTATGGCAACTGAGGGAACAAGGGGATGGGTGAGAAGAGATACTGTCCATTATAACTTTCAAAAGCCCATAAAAAGGAAAGAGTCAATCTAGAGTGACATTCCTTGAAATAAATTCTGGGAGATTCTAGGCCAATGAGATAATTTAGCTTTATTGCCTAAATTGCAGAGCATTCTCTATACAGCATAAAGGGGAACTGAGGCAGGAATAGGACAGTTAGGGAAACCAAGCTTGGAAATTCTTTAGGAAGGGGTAGCGGTCTTAAGCTGATGGATTTACAACCTTGATACCCTTGACAGTCTCTCAGTTAAATGGGGTGGAGAACAAAACAATGGGAGAGAAGCAGGAAGAATCCTTAAGAACAGTTGATTTCACAGCTGGTAGAGGTACACCTGAGTCAATTTACATTTCTAACCTGGAAGTCACTGTTGGAGGGAGATGCCTCAGGCCTCTGCCATCAGCCTCCCTGCTTAGGCTACAACCTCCTTTAAGGCAGCCCCCAGCTTTGGGAAGGAGTACTGGTAGCCAGTGGCCAGCGTCCTCCGTGGGACTACCTTCTGGCCCTCCAGCAGCATGATGGCACGCTCTCGCCCAAAGACAGCGTGCACCACAGCACGGGGCAGGGGGATAAAGGCTGGTCGGCCCAGGGCGGCACCCAAGGCCTGAGCAAACTCAGCATTGGTGGTGGTGGGGGCTGGAGCCACTCCATTCAGGACTCCCTGCACATGTCTTGCTTCAAGAGCATGGGCCAGGATTCCCACTAGGTCGCTGATATGAATCCAGGGGAAGAACTGGTGGCCAGAGCCGATGGGGCCCCCCAGACCCAGGCGGAAGGGCAGCAGCATGTGGCCAATGGCACCACCCCCGCGGCCCAGCACAACTCCTGGAACAGGCAGGAAGGATGGTGTGGAGGAGGCCCCTCAGCCTACAAGCAGTCCCGCTGCACCTGTTTCTGTTTCCCTTTCCTCATCCTCTCCCTGTGCCAACATAGCTCTGTAACAGCTGGGAAGCATAGCTCCCTTTGGGACTTCCCACTTTCCCATCTGAAGGCTGACCAGAAGTAATGTCTCTCTCACCCTCTGTGAGCTCAGTTCACTTGATCCCACTGCCTCCCAGCCCAGAGAAGATGTTCTAACCTGATTCCCAGACCCCTGGTTCTCACCTGAGCGCACCACCACCTGGCGTGTAGAATCTGCAGGAAGCCTGGCTGCAGCTTCCCATTTGGTTACGAGGTTGGAGAAGAAGTCAAAATCCCCTCCAGGGCTGTCCTCATCATATTCTGCAGTCAGGCTGGGCTGGTAGTAAGCTGCCAGTGGAACAGCGTTCATCTGCCTGTCCTAGGTCCTGCCTGGCTCGTTGGGGTCAAGGCTCCCCTTGGCTTACCCTCTTTGGCCCTTAGGATCTCCCCATGGGAAGACAAAACCATACATATTTTCCCCTTTGAGCTTCTCCATGAAAGTGACATGTTACTGTCATGAAAGAATGCTTATCTTTGGTTACAAGGCTAAGCTGAGAGGCTGCTAGAGTATAGTTGAGAATGAAGACTTGAGTGCCAGGCTTCTGAGTTTTTAATCTCAGTTCCACTACTTATTAGCTCTGTGGCCTTAGGCAAGTCACTTAACCTCCGTGTGTGGGATTTTCATCCCTAAAATGAGAATAACGAGAATTTACCTCAGAGTTGTTAGGACTAAATGATATAATATGTATAAAACACTCAGAATAATGGCTAGTATATACTTTATAATTGTTATTTGGTCCCCAAAGTAAAATACAAGAATCAGTAACTTTGTTCCTAAGGAATTATGGTATGAGAAGCAAGGGACTTGGGAGTAGATGGTATTTTCCCTGGCACTGGGTGGGGTACTACTCCCTTGTCTTTCTCCAAGGGTCCCTGTTTCTCAGTGAAAATACACAGTCAGGAGAAACATGCATCCATTGAGGGCCCAAGAAATTATTGTGCTTGTAGGAAACCAGGGCTCTGGGCTGGATATAGCTAGAAGGATTTGAACTACCTCCTCACTCTGCATCCTCCTCCCCCTGGCTAATAGAAGGGGTTGGGAATTTGGGCATACCTACACCTGTGACTAAGATCCAGGTCTTGGGGGGTTGTGGAGCCTTGGAGATGGTGCTTGCCAGCATTTGGGTAGTATCTAGGCGGCTGCTGAGAACCTCTTTTTTGAAGGCATCATTCCACCTGCAGGAGAAAGAAGGGTAACAGTCACTAAAATGCATACATGCACACGGCCTTCTCTCTTTGGCAGGGCAGGGGTAGGGGGTATGGGGGTGGAGATGAGGTGGAGGCTGTATGTTTAGTATCCATTTCTAGTAAAACACTTGTGGCTTAGAGAAATGGCCCCTAAGTAAAACACTTGTGGCTTAGAGAGAAATGGCCCATGCCGCCTGTAAAGGAAAAGGCATATCCGTTTTAGGCATCCTGAGTTATTATACAGGAGGCTTAACGGTCAAAAGGAGTTCTGGTGGCGCAGTCCCTAAGGCATCTGACTGCTAACCAGAAAGTTGGCGGTTCAAGCCCACCAGCCACTGTGCAGAAGGAAGACAGGGCGATCTACTTCTATGAAGAGATTTACCACCTCGGAAACCCAGCCGGGGTAACTATGAGTTGGAATCAATTCAGTGGCACTGGGTTTATTTATTTTTTCCCCTTAACGTAACTGAGCTGACTGAGGAAAGGTGCAGGTCAGTGCCAAGGGGTGTGAGGACAAGTAGAGATAGCCTTTGCTTAGTTTCTCGATCTGGCAGTTCTAGTATCCACAGTTCAAAGGTTCTCCTCAGAGTCGGACCCTTTCCTCCCTCTGGTCTGGAAGATACCAGCTTCAGGGCCCCGCTGACCTTCGCAGAGGGTTTAGGATGTTTTCTCCAGCCAGATTGATGACAGCATCACAGCGGGGCAGCCCGGTCTTAGCGAGCTCATCCTGTGAGAAAAAGCGCAGTGCCCCAGGCCCCGCCTCGCCAAGACCCCGCTTCCCACCACTCGTCCTGTGACGGGTCATACCCACGTGATCCGCTCAGGCCCGGGCTTTCGGGAGACCAATGCCACTTGATGGCCCCGGGTTTTCAGCAGCTGGGCTAGGGCTGTTCCAATGAAGCCCGTCCCGCCACCTGGTTGGGAAACAAAAGTTGTTTATCTTCCCAGGGGCTCCTTTCGTCCTGCATTTAATCCCTCCTCGGATGCCGTTCCTTCGGATTCCAGACGTCTCCCCTCCTTCTACCTCCCTCCCCGTGATGGAGAACTGACACAGGCTACAGGGATTGGGGAATTCGGCTTCTCGGGATAGGAAGTCAAGGTCAAATTGCCCGAGCACAAGACAGTGCCTTCTTTCGGAAACGGCCTCCTAGCCCGCCATCTCAAGCTACATCATTTTTCCATAAACACGCCCCCACTCCCTTTTCTGCCTCCCTCACCGACAAGCACTCGCATAGCGACCAGGACCTAACGCGCCTGTGCAAGATTTAGACTAACTCCTCCCGGCTTCCCCGTGTGGGCGCATCTACGACCTCTTTGCGCATGCGTCTTGGGAAGCACCTCCCAATTGTGGGGCGGGAGGATTGAGAATGGGCGTCACCCCAGCGGGTGACCCGGTAGAATTTAAAGAACTTGGACTTTAATTTCACAGAAACCTAAAAAACCAAACTCACTGCCATCAAGTCGGTCCCAACTCATAGCGACCCTCCTTGGGTTTCAGAGGCGGTATCTCTACGGAAGTAGATGGTTCAATCTTCCTTCTGAGGAGTGGCTGGTGGGTTTGAACCATCAGCCGTCTCCTTACCAGTCATTCTATAAATGTTCAGAAGACATTTATTTCACAGAGGCGGGGTGGTGTGAGGTTTAGAAGAACCATGGGGGCAGGGAAAGAAGGATAGGCGCAGAAGGGACGGTTTTAGTGCAGGAAAAAAACCTTAAATCTAAAACTTGATGCTGCCCAAACCTGGGAACTCTGGCTGTCCATTCAGTTTGATGGGTCAGTGATCCAAGAGAGTCCGTTCACCTGTCCTGTGGATTTCTTTCTACCCAGCCTATTCTTTTACCGTCTCTTCTCTCTGCTCTGGCTCTTTCCTATTAGTATTTATCATTCCAAAGTTTCTCCCATATTCTTCCAGCTAATGTCCTCTCTTGCCTTCACGGGCAAACTTCTCAAGGAAAAAACAAAACAAAACAAAACAAAGCACAAAACCCTAAACTTATTGCTATGGAGTTGACTCCAACTCATAATACTGATCCCTACTGCGTTTCCAAGGCTGTAAATCTACGGAAGCAGACTGCCCCACCTTATTTCTGCAGAGCAACTGTTTGGTTTGACCCACCAACCTTTTGGTTAGCAGACAAATCCCTTAACCACTATACCATATTGTTGTTGTTGTTACGTGCCTTCGAGTCAGACCCGACTCATAGCGACCCCTCCTTGGGTTTCTGAGGCGGTATCACTACAGAAGTAGATTGCCCAACCTTCCTTCTGAGGAGTGGCAGGTGGGTTTGAATCTCCAGCCTTCTGGTTAGTGGTCAAGTGCCTTAGGCACTATGCTACCAGACCTCTCAAGAATGGTCTCCATTTTCTGCTTCCCAATTTATCCCTCTCTGGCATTTCATTGTCCCTCTGTCCAAGATCATCATTTCCCTTGTGTTACTGAAACAGGTAGGGCTGGCTGAATCAAGCAGCCCTTGACTCAGTGTTCTTGCGGCTGGTGACCCAGAATTACTGGTGATTAATAAACCAGGCCCTTAGGCAAAATAAGTTACATTTCATAAGTCACACAAGCTTGACTAATGTAAAATGCTGATAAACCTCCTCAGTTGTTTTTCAATTACTGTACCAGGCAGATCATGTGCAGTAGAATTCAACTTGACTGACAAAGTGACCTTCCACCAGAGGCAGTCAAGAACAGGAATCCCTTGCTGGACTTGAGCCAGGGGCATCACCCATGTGCAATATTCCAGAATAAGTCATGGCAACATCCCAGCAACCTTCACAATGAGTTCCATCTTTGTTCCAACAGCCTTTGCATGCAATCCATCTTGGCTACTACCTGTGTGCACACCTGATTTTCATAACCCCGCCTTTTCCCCCAGAAATCCCCACCCATTTATGAATAAATGCCCTATTCCTGCCTAAAACCCTTTATACTCACTGCCATTTAGTTGATTCTGAATCATTGCGACCCCCTTAGGGTTTCCAAGGCGGTAAATCCTTATAGAAGTACATTGCCCCATTTTTCTTCTGTGGAGCAGGTTGTGGGTTTGAACCTCCAACCTTCTGGTTAGCAGTCAAATGCCTTAAGTACCATGTGCCAGAGCACCCTAAAATCCTTTATAAAAAACCAAAAACCAAATTAACTGCTGTCAAGTCAATTCTGACTCATACCAACCCCTCTTTGGGTTTCTGAGGCAGTATCTTTAGGAAGTAGATTGCCCAGTCTTCTTTCTGAGGAGTAGCTGGTGGGTTTGAATCTCCAATCTTTTGGTTAGCAATCAAATGCTTTAGGCACTACACCACCAGAGCTCCTAAGAATGTTACAGCCAGGCATTTTGTACTAGGATTTTTTTTTTTTAGGGTATATAAGCCACTGTAACATTCTTACAGTGGCTTATATATCCTAAAAAACTTCTAGTACAAAATGCCTGGATGTGCTAGATAAAATTTAACAAACCTCATTTAAATGTATTGCTGAGTTAGCTAGAAATAAAGGAAGTCCATAGGCACCAAAACCAAAATGTGCCTTGGGACTGAGCTATCTTGTTGTTTGCCAATCTTAGTAACCCAGAGACTTGGGTGATAGAAGACAATGCTTGAGCCTCAAGGAAGATTAGGACTGAGACCTTTGCATAAAGTTCTTGGTGGGTAATGTCCTCAGGGACAAGGTGAACATGAAAACGTCCACTTAATATCATTGTGGCCAATTATAGAGTGTTCTGACTGGCCATGCCTGAGTCATGTACTTAGTCCTGGACCAGAAATGGGGTTGAGTCTCACTTAGAGCTTTGAAATCTAAAGGATCCTTCCCCTTTCAACCGTACTCTCATTGTTAAAAACACCTTCCTTTCTCTCCTGGCTCTGTTGTTCCTTACAGTGAACTGGGAAAGGGGGATTTCCCCTGAATCAGATACCTTAGATTATAGATTCTAGACAGCGGAGGTCCATCAATATCCTCATGGAGGCAAAGAGGGACTTCTTTCCAGAGTATTGTGACCTTTGTGAGAGGCGACACTGAGGTTGAGGTTGCGACTAGTGGCATGGGGGTGGAGGTGAGATGTTCAAGATGCCAGGTGCACATTGTAAGGAAGAAGGTTATAGCTAGGAAATTTTATGGACTGTTCGTAGAACTCCACTTCCAGACAAGTGCCAGAGTATTAGTTCTTGGGTGAAATGCTGGTATGCGGAGCAGGGACTTATTTGATTGGGACTGAAGAAATATTTGAGGGGAAATAAGTTCTTTAAAAGAAGGTTAGGTTCTATCTGTAGGGGTTGTGTGACTTGGTGTCTCTCCACAATTCTGCTGAAACAGCTCTTGTCAGTGATCTCCATTTTGCTAAATTCATCGATCTTGTCTCAGTCCACGTATGCTGCCTTTTAGCACCCTTTGTTTATGTTCGGACGCTTTCTTCGCTTGGTTTTCAGGACGCAGTTCTATCCTTCTACTCTTACCTTATTAGCCATTCTTCAGTCTTTGCCAGTTTTGCCTGTCCCTGATTTAAAAATAATTATATTTAGGTACCTTTTACAGATTGAAGGAGCTCTGGTGGCATAGTGCCTATGGCATTTGACTGCTAACCAGAAGGTTGGTGGCTCAAACCTCCAGCCACTCTGCAGAAGGAAGACTGGACAATCTACTTCCGTAAAGATTTACTGCCTTGGAAACCCAAAGGGGGTCGCTATGAGTCTGAATCGACTCGGTGGCAGTGAGTTTGTTTTGGATTTTAAAGCATTGGTTTTAAAATGTTTGCTGCAGGTTTGGTCCTTGTGCCTACTCTCTAGTATGAATCTCATGTTTTTAAACAGTATCCGATGAATCTCAAATTTCTATCTCCAGCCTGAACCTCTTCCCTGAATCAAAGTCACCTAGATTTGTTCGTATGTCATCTTCTAGAAGGTTTATAGTTTTACCTTTTACATTGAGTCTATGATACATTTTGAATTAAACTTTGTGAAAGGTGTAAAGTCTGTTCCTAGATTCATAGAGTTTGCTCTAGAGTTTTAAATATACATCTGCAACTAATCTAAATTTACCTTCAAATAACATTATACTACTTCATGGATAGTGCAGATACTTTATGACAGAGTATTCAAATTCCTCCCTCCTGTTTTTTTTTTTTTTTTAAACAACATTGCTGTTATTCATTTCACTTATCCATAAGCTATAATCATCCAGTATATTGTTGTTATTATTACTTTGATCAAATTATCAACATTTTGATCAGTTATCTATTAGATCAATTAAGAATAAGAAAAAAAATTCTTCAAGGCACCCAAAAGCACTATCCTTAAAGCAGAATTTCTTAGGCTCACACAATTGACACTTTGAACTAGATAAATGTTTCTTGTTGAGGGCTGTTCTGTGCATGGTTTCTACCCACTAGATGGCAGTAGCACCTCCTTCGGTGTGACTGAAAAACCCAACCCAACCACTACTGTCACTGGAGCTCCTAGGACTTAGGCTAGGGTTCCATTTATTATTTGGCATCTGTAAGTCCCAACTGATAACATGATTGAATTTTAAGTTCTCCAGTGTGGTGGAGCTCTGGTAGTGTAGTGCCTAAGGCACTTGACTCTAACCAGAAGGCTGGTGGTTCAAACCCACCAGCCACTCCTCGGAAGGGAAGGTTGGGCAATCTACTTCCGTAGTGATACTGCCTTGGAAACCCAAAGAAGGGTTGATATGAGTCAGGTCTGACTAAATGGCACATAACAACAACAACAACAACAACAACAACAACAACAGTGTAGTGTTAGAATAAAGGAGCCCTGGTGGCACAGTGGTTAAGTCTTCAGCTGGACTGCTAACTAAAAGGTTGGCAGTTTGAACCCACCAGCAGCTCTGCAGAGAAAGATGTGGCAGTGGGCTGCCATAAAGATCACAGATTTAAAAGCTCTGGGCAGCAAAGAGTTTTTTTTTTTCTTTTTTTGTTATAGTATTAGTGTCATGGTGACCCTATGTGTTACAGAGTAGAACTGCTCCCTAGGGTTTTCTTGGTTCTAATCTTTACGGGAGCAAATAGTTGCTGCTGGCTGTGTTTGAATGACCAACCGTTAGGTTAATAGTTGAGTGCACTGAGTTTACTATGAGTAAGAATCAACTGGTGGCAATTTTTTTTTTTTCCAGTATCAGTTCAGTTCAGATCCTGTGCCCAAGAGTCCTTAAAAATGCTGAGTATTTTGTAGGTCTCTGTGGCCAAGGATTGGGAGAATACCTCCTGAGGGTCATACT